CCAATTCCTTCAAACCAGTCTGAAATTTGGGTAGCAATGGAAACAAATGCACTAAAATTATTAAACACATTTCTTATGATTAGTAAATACACAGATTTCAGTAGTAAACATCTGTTAAATATACATATCTTTTATTAATTAATAAAGCAAGGACTTGGAGGAAAAAACCCACTGGATTCCTGTGGGACAGTAATCATCATACAAAAATAGGTATTTATATAGATATAACTATTAAGTTTAATGTGTTTTTTTTTTCATTGTCATAATTCTATGCAATCCTGAGACCTGTACTACAGTCATGAAATTTGGACAACTAACTTTTTAATTTTAGAAAGTAACTCATTCTTATAATATGCTACACTAGAAAGAGCATTACATAACTTTTTTTTTTCAGGATATAGAAGTTCTATCATGCTTGCCCTTTTTTTTCCCCTTAAGTTTCTGGAAAAATAGAACATGAACTTACAAATGTTTATTTTAGCATGACCTAATAGTCTGTAACTTAAAGGAAAAAAAAAATCACAATACCATCCAGCATCTCTTTGTGGGCTTTCCATGTTCAGATTACTTAGGTCCACTTTAAATCTTGAGAGGTCAGTTTTGGTTACTAAACGTTGCAAAGGATTTCTGGTTATACACTAAATTAAAGGAAACAAAAGCTGCCTAGAACTAACCCATCTGATGATGGTGGTTTTATGGACTTTTCAAGAATCTCTATGGCACTGCAAAGATGTTTTTCTAAAAACTTTGGAGAGACTGTGATACAAATGACACTGTTAGTGTAATTACTGCTAGAATTTTTAAAACCAGCGGAAGTGTTTTCATGTGTTTTGGAATCACACCACCACCACCCCTCCTCCTCCTCAAGAATAATCTGCACCCATTTTTAAAGTGATGATGCTTTTGTGAAAACAAACTTTGGTTACTATTTCATCTGCATACAGACCCATGCTATTTATATAATAATATGCAAAGGAAATCCTGTAGATGCACATGCAAGCATGAACATACAACCTAAAGGTGCATGAGATTATACACTAATATTGTCAGGAACTAATTTGATATTTTTATGGAAAAGTATTTCCTTTGCCACAAGACACCTTAAAATGAGCATGGGTGTGGGGGCAAGTTAAGTGCTATGTCTAGGCCAGTATTCTATCTTCAGTAATAGCCAAAAATACAGAACAGGTCACAGATGTGTGGTATTTCTCTGATTCTCTTCAGACCACCCACTCCTTTGATGTCAGGGACTTTCTGAACCATATGTGGTTTCTGTTTAGCAACTTTGAGCACATCAACCTTCCAAGCAATAATTCACAATTCTGGAAACCATATCATTTTTTATAATATCTACAACATATATTTAACAAGTCATCCCACAGGTCTCTCCACTACTGATTTCATGAAGGATTTCTTATTTTTGAAGGCTCTGAATCTGCCTACCCTCGTAACTGTGCATGCTTTTGTTTTGAAAGGCAGTGGTTAGTATTCATCTTCCTTCCTCTGTAGATGTCCACAACATTGCCCTCAATCAATCATTTTCCCAGACCAAAGTTCCAATTTATAGAAATGTTCTTTAATGGCAGCCACCCTATGTAGCTCATCATCCTTACTGACCTTCTCTAAGTTTCATCTTGTTCTAATATACCTTTGAAGGCTCCAGAAATACACAATACTTGGAAGCAACTTGAACATACACTCTTGTAATGACATTCTCAAAAATTATTCTGTACATTTTTACTTTAATATTTGGATTGTGTTTTGGTGACCAATGAGTTAATGATCTCACAGGATCGCCAATCACAATTCCCAAATCTTACTCCTCAATGGTAATACTCAGCTCAAACCCTTAATCCAATACATAAAAGGGACTGTTCTGCCCAGTTACCCTTCTTAGTTATCATCATAATTTATCTACACTGAATCTTATCACCCATTTTGTTGCATAGTCCTCAGCACTTCACTGTCCTTCCATTGTTCTCCACAGCTAGTTCTCTCCTTCACTGCAAAGTTCCTCACCCAACTGCTCATCCCCTTTACTGACACCGATCATGAACATGTTCCACAGATCTCTGTGGAAATTAAGTGGGACCCTTCTTTAACTGGGAACTGACCTTCTACTTCTACCCTTTGACTGTACATCTTAAACTGTCATTTACTTTCATTTCATCATCTACAGCTGTCATTCTGCAAAGACCTCCCCTCTTATATTATCTTAGTTTCCTTAAGAAGTCCTTTTGATAAAATTCACTTTGAATTTTGAACCAGAACATCTTTACTTCTTGCTGATCCTCCCAAGAACTCCAATTCCCCAGGACAGGGCTTCCTCACAAGTGCTTATTTGACTCTTCTCAGATTATCTTCTTATGCAGTTGGCCACTGCATAAGATGCTTTATTACAGCATCTACCAACCAAATACAGATTTCAGATTTGCCTGGTACAGGCCTGCCTGGCCCAGAATTCCCCTGAAACCATGATTTTCCATACTTGCATTTCAGAAGATTTTTCTGAACCTGAATACTTGAGCATGTACAGACAATGTAATTAGGTTGCAGAGCACAAATAGATTGGATAGCTGTTCCAAGTTTTGGTTTTTGAGATAGTCACCTAAAAATTCATAATTAAAGATGTTTTTAACAGTATCAGCTATTATTCAAGTAAAAGGGCTTCTGGTGCTCTAGTCCTGCTAGTTAACACAAGCTCAAATAAGAAGGGCAAACTGGTGTTTGAAAAAAATCTCAACACGTCATAGAAGCTGCGAGAACTGTGCTAGGACAAGGCCTTCAACAGGAACCAATTTCTCTCATGATGCTACACTAGATGTTTGAGATCAATTCTGGAATAAAAACACAACTCATGCAGGACAGATAAAAAGTGACTGAGAGATAGGGTAGTCTCCCCATTACGTAACAACACATCCCGGGTATAGGTGGTAACCACGCATTAGTGCAAAGCCTGCAGCAGAAGCCCAGTCCTGTCCTGAGCCACACTGCCAAAACAACATTGCCTGGCAGCAAAAGCTATGACACTTTAGCACTGCTTTTTTGTAACCTTGGATTTCTTTTAACCATATTATTTATTGGAGCTATTCCATCTTAAATGCTGATAATCCTGGTTGCCCTGTTTCCTCTTATCCCAGCCCTCAAAGAACGGCAACAAGTAAGAAAGAGTGACTATTTCCAAGCAGCCATTTCCAATACAACCTATAGTCAAGGAACTGCTGTTCTATCTGAAAAGAAAATACTTCATAGAATATTGTAGCTTTACAGTAAATAGGAAGTGTTACATCTAGCTATGATTGCTTTTGCTACTACTGCTACAACTGTGATGCTGGATGATGGTATCAAATGACCTTATAAGCTAAAACACAAAAGCCTTAACTGACAATGCAGAATACCTAAGGTAATACCAAAGTAAATCCCTCTTCAAAGCTGTAACCAGTGAGCCTTTCTGAACCTCCACAGCACAAACACCAAATTTATTTCTGACTCTGTTCAATGTACCAGCTTTGTGCAATGCTGTTACTACACACCTAAATAGCTTACTCTGACTAGAGTGACTACTCAGAGCCCCCACAAGCCCCGTTGCTATGAGAGCATCCTTGTGAACAAGGTAAATACATAGCTCTGCATTTGTTCCCATTTCCCATTCGGCACATTGAGCATTCTGCTCCAGAGCACTGTGATGCCGTGCAATGCAATTTGGGATGCACATCTCAATGCATAAGAATTCTGAGATTTGATGCCAGATTAGTGAACAACTAAAAGCAGTCTTGCATAATTTAGAGTTACACAACTGAACACTGCAGTGGGTGATAAGGCAGGTAGTTAGTATCCAGAATAGCCACCTGGATTACGATATTTGGATTCAGGTGAGCAGAAGCAATGACTGGATCAGTTCCAGGCAGCAAAGCCAGAATCTGCTAGAAGTCCACAGAGATTTTGTCCTGGAACTGCACCAACAGAAAACCATTTCGGGAGCTCCCATCAGCCTGATGAAATGTCATAACAATGTGATCACCAAAAAACTTTACCATTAAATCACAAGGTAATCATCTTGTTATTGGCAGGACAAGCAAGTCAGGAAGGCTGACAGTAGCTTCTTCATGTTGTGTCAAGGGGCAGGGATAGGGTTCCCTGCTGTCACAGAAGAAGGCTCTGAAATGCACATGTGTTGCCCTACTGTGCCCCAGCTCCACCTCCAAAAACACTAGCTTAAAATTTTCTCAGTCTTGCTGGACACAGTTTATCACAGTAAGCATTCACCAACACTGGGTGATGTACAATGAAAGACCCTGATGTCCTGAAATTTAAATTTTATTCTCCACAGTCCAAGACACCAGGCCACTTACAAGCTCTCTTTTTTAAAGCAGCTCAGCAGACTCTGCTTCCCGTGTTTCAAGCGTACATTAAGCGATGTGAGAAAAACACATGCAAGACTTTGCCTTGAACAGCTGCAAACTGCTAGTAGGGCAGGCTTCCAGAAAGGTGGAAGGAAGATGGTGACAAAAAAGATGGAATAAAAATAGTCTTATGACTGTATGGTATGCATCAATGTTTCATGCATTCATGTTATGGGAAAAAATCCTGGAGGGCAGATGGAAACATGAAATAGAGATGCTTTTGTGAATCCCAGAGAATGTCTTCCTCTAAAAGTGCTCTCCAACAAGACACTCGAGCTACTTTCACGCTGTGGGAAAGTAGCTCTAGGCTAGCAAAAAATTTGCAATCAAAAAGGTATGTTTAATTTTATTTTTTAAAAATTGTGAAGAGATTAATTTTACAATAGTTGTGTGTTCAATTAATTTTTCAGACAGGTGTTCAGACAAATGGATTTATTTACTGATTTAGTTGATGGTCATTTTTTTTCAGTGAAAAATAATGACCTTAAAAACAAAGCAAGTCTTGCACAGAGTGCTCCTCTAGATGGTATACACAAGAATCAGAGTAGTCAGGAAACATTTCAGCTCAACTGACATAGTGGTATCAATCTGAAATACCTTCTATGTTTTTCAGGATGCTGGCGATAAAATGCTTGACCAGTGTTTTGTTAGAACTGTTTAGGTTTAGCACCTTTGTACTGCCTGTTTCTTGTCGCCTTCCAGAAACGCATAATCCATCACAATCTTCTGGGGGTTCTCCAGGAAACCCTCCTTTCATCACTCTGCCTTTGCTGAGCTGACAATTTCAAAGTTCAGATCCACCTTTTGTTTATCTTCTGAAATCTGATGGCTACCTTTGAGCTACTAATTCCCTCTTCATATGGACTGCAGCTTTTTTATGTGCTAAGAGAAATCAGAAAAAATAAAGATGTTACTAGTCACCCCACTCATTACAAAGTCTATTTTAATACTGCTAACTAATTTCTTCCCTCATGATCACATTTAGATTTTTTTCTCCCAGTTTCTCTTTTCACCGTGTGCCCTTCAAAACTGCAAAATGCTTTCCAAATTACTTCCACATACTACATATGCTGTTGTAGGTTTTTCTGACATACGTAATGGAGTAAGCTGGTTGCTATTGTTTCAAGACTTGAAATAGTCAGACACTATTGGATAGGGAATTTGAGTATAAAGCATCCTGCTTTTGGTTGTTGGTTTTTTTTGTTTGGTTTTAAAAGAAAAAACTAATATGCATTACATATTTAACTGCATACATGGGAAAGTAGATGTCCTTATGCTGAAGGACTGCACTCCCTAACAAATTTCTGGGAGACCTGAGGACCTCATTTGTAAAGACAACAGGCAAATTGTGATAATGCACTGCAAGGTTACCTATCAATAAGCTTCATCTGGGAGTGTTAGAGGAGCATTTCCTTAGGGGGGGAAAGAAAACTCCAATATCAACAACCCAACACCTCCTTTGCCTGCACTTTTTATATCAAACCTCTCTCTTACACACTATTTTCACTCTTTTTATGGCTCCTGAAAATTATGGTAAAATACACTGCAAAGCTAAGAAATTTCTGTTGCAGCTTTTAGATCTACACAAGCTCATTCTACTACACAGATTCAGAATAGCAACACAGTTCCAAATTCTTTGTGTACTTCACCCTGGCTGAAGATCGAGCACGGTAATGAAACTTCGCAACAGCACAGCTTTGTATTTGAGACTGCTCTAGGATGAATAAATACTCTGAGCATGACTAAGGTCTGGAGCAGGGGGGCAGCATAACCAAAGCTGGGGAAGGATGTGATTAGCGAGGAGGAAATGACAGATCACATCAGTAGAGAAAGGAGGCAGAAAAGTGTGAATCATGTCTGGGACTTGGCACAGCAAAGAAATACATCATTAAAGCTTTGAAGTAAGACTGATGAGAAGATGACATTTCACTGAGGGGAACAGTGAAGAAAAAAGCGTGCAAAAGTATCAAAAAGTGTGATCACGAGCTCTTGCAATTGTGGAGTCAGGTGCTGGACAAACTTTTACAGAACATGAGTCAGCAGCACAGATGTGACAGTCACTGACTGAGAGGAAGGAAAACCAACACTTGCTAAGCTGAAGGATGTCACACACGCAGGGGTGTAGGCAGCAGCAGGAGGAAGCAGTCCCATACAGCACTATCCATTCTCTATGTCTGTGCACACCCCCTGAACACATGACTCCCTCCAGCCTTCAAACTATCTCCCTTTGCATTCAACCTGAGGAGCAGAGCTCCAGGGAGCATGGAGGTGAGCCATGCCATGGCTTCAGCTCAGCTGGGACAGCTCCTTGCTGTGTCTAACTGGGGTGGGCTGCTTCCTGCCTTCCCCACAACCTAAGGGTCCCCAAGGCAGGGAGCAGGCAGTGAGCTCCATGGTGACATCAACACCAAGAGCAGGGTCAGCATTCTCCTTCTGCAGATCTCCAGGCTTTCCATATAGGGCAAGGTAGGTACGGGACAGAGTTGCAAAGATTTGGACAGTGAGGATAACTGATCTGGGCAGCTAAGACAACTTGACGCTATTCCTCATTAAATGGGTCTTTTACCCAGAAGGTAAAGAGCACAGAGAACAAGGGGAAGCAGAAGACATAGCAGGTGTCAAGGAGTTGAGACAGGAACATTTCTGAGAAGTCCTTCCATACAGCTGGACTGGTAAGAAGGCAAGGCTAGCTGAGCAAAGACCAGGGACAGGGGTAGGGGATACCAACAGTAAAGGCTGATACTCTGGATGACGGAATAAGAGAAATGAAAGGATGGAGGGACAGTAGCTGGAGTGCAGAAGTTTAGAGATGGTCAGTAAGTGACAGTACATCCGTATGGATGAGAAGTTCACAGAAAATAAATAAAACAGGAGTCTGACATAAGCTTGAGAATAGCTAAGTTAAATGGCAAGGGAAAGGCTGCTACCTGAGTGATGAAGCGATGCTCCAGAAAAAGTAGTTTAAACCCTCCTGTGAAGTTATTGTGCAATTGGGCATGCAATACTTACCAGATCAGTTTCCTCCTCCAGCCTCCACAGGATCCTGTAGCTGTTTCTTGGGTATTGTTCACAGCTGAGGAGACACAGTGCTTTGAAGCAAACCCAGGCCAGGAGGACACTATGGTATAGGTGAGGGTGAGGCTACAGACTTTTTTTTTTTCTGTTTTTTGTTTTTTTTTTTTTTTTTAAACTCATTTACCTCAGGCCTCTGTTGTGACACTGTTCCATCTGAGAGAAAAAAAATAATTCACTCCTGGATTTGGTGGCAATGTCACTTGCAAAATCACAGCCCTGAGCATGTATGAGGGCACTTATCAAGAATACTGTTGAGTTTCTTTGTCTTCTGCTGTATCTTTTGTGGTCCCTTGTGCTGATTCATTCCCGAGGCCAGGTCCAGGTGTGTTTTCTCTCCTTCATTTATGTGTGCACCTGTACCTGTCCATCCCATAATAATTCATATCCAAGCAGGCTCAGTCATATATGAACTGGATGCCACCAGAACCTTAGCAGACCCTTCAAAACTAATTGATTATTATAACCAACTTTCTTAGAACCTCCACCACAAAAAGCAGCACTCTTGCCTACCTGCCAACATGTATGGAGCATCTACCTCTACCCAGAATGATCCTGGTTTAGTAAAGCAGGACATGGGTAGTGAGCCAAGTCTGAAGAAATAAGAACTAAAGCACATTATAAGCAATCAACCCAAAGAAACCTTGAGTGGAACCCAGCCCACCACAACAAGCATTTTCTACAGTAAATAGTCCTTTGTGATGCAACATTGAGAATTCAATTCAGCACAGACACACAATGCTGTAAGAGGAACTGCACTGTATTCAAGGTAACATCCTACTGTGGACTAAGCCATAGTGAACTGAATTTGTTAATTATTTCTCAGTAATCATCAGCCTAGAAATTCTTTCTCACTTCATCCATTTTAAAATTCACAAAGGGACAATCCTACCTATTGTCTGCTTGAGTGAATCCTAGGTTTCCGTACTGACAAAAGGAAAATAGAAGTAAAGAACGGAAATTGCAGTGAATTTTACATGCAGTTTCTGTTTGTTAGAGAAACATCTTTTTCAGCATACAGGAAGAATATCATAATGAAAAAAAAAAATCCCCACAATGGATTATTCCTCATCCTCTACCTTTAAGAGATTAATCTAACAGATAACACAAACGGATTTGTAATTACTGTATTCATGCATCTTCTGTAAGCCACTAAGACACCAAAGCAATGGGTCAGATAGATATGCACATTTCAGATCTGTAAGTCCTGGTCCCATCTCTCTCACATCCCCCTCTGCAACTTTGAGAAAAGCAGCTCATATCTAAAGCGTATCACCTTGCACATTTTTATCAACTTCCAGTCCTTGCTTAAAGAAAGAAACAAAACTGCTTAACCAAATCCAGCCTATGTCCCTGTTAAGTCTTCCCCCCTCTCCCAACAAGACCCATTTGTTTCTAAATTGCAGCCCTAACCACAGTGCTCTTTCAGAGCCTCCCCTGCCCATCAGCAGCTGCAGAGCAACACTCCTTCCAAGGCTTCCCTGCTCTGGTGGCAAAACCCAAGGAATCACTTCAGCTCCTTGCTGCCAGTAGGTCACTGTGCATCGCAAACCGTGTCTTGGAGATTTCTATCAGATGCACAGGCCGTTCCTTACTTACAAAGGCCTGGATATTAAGAAGACACCACTAGAAAAAGGAGGAGTATTTATTTACAGATATCATTAGCAATTTACAAGAAAATGAAATAAATAGGTCACGCAGGAACAGCTGAAACACTGAGCAGCTAACTGGATGTTTCATCTATCTTAAATTCAGTATTGCATCAAATGTTGTAAGAGAGCGACAGATCACAAATGCCAAGTTAGTCATTTTCAGTAACAGTTCTCATGGAATTTTTTCCTTCTAAATAATCAAAACAATTGGTCATTGGACCTTATAAGGAAAAGTGCCATACCAAACAGAATTTCATAAAATACAGCTGTTTTAACTTCATAGTTCCCTCCAGCATATCTGCAGCACCTGAATTATGGGGCTGCATTTTTATGATTGAGTCTTTGTTGTTTTGGTTTTTCTTTCTTTTTTTTTTTTTTTTTTTTAAACAAGATAACAAGATAAAGCTATTGGCAGTGGAGTAACTTGTTCAGATTCAGAGTAACAGGTTTCATCTGTTCTTATGACAGATACACTCAATAAAGCCACAGCATAGTAAATTTTAAACAAATAAACAGCCATGAGTTGTTTCTTAACAGCAAAGTATTAGCTTGTGAGATTAATTGCCAGAAGGTAGCTTACAGTCAGACAGACAAGATTTACATAGATAACTGGATCATACAAAATTATAATATGATTTCAGGAAGGCTTCAGGAAAAAAAGAATAGCAATCCTCTTTTTGCAGGACAAAATACAAATCAGAAGAGAGTTAAATAAGATACTATCTTCTCCTCTGTATCTTACAGTTATATCCCCTCTTGAGGCATCTGATAGCACCTAACATCAAGACAAAACACAGGACTAAACAGAACAGTAGTCAGAATTCCTGTGTTGTACCAGATCTAGAGAGTATAACACATTTGTGGACTCCAAACAGCAGCCTCCCATCTCCTCAGAGCATCTTTTGAAACATGCAGTTGAACTTGCCTCGAGTATAGCAAAGTACAGGTTTTAAGACCTCAGGCACTGGAATACCCGCCAAGTCACAACAAATATGTATACATAATCTAATCTACTTAAATTCTGAGTGGAAACTCAGCGCCCTTCAGGTATATCCCTCAAGGCTACGAATGGTATGCTTGTCAGACAGGATGAAGTTTCCCTGTGTAAGTAATAACTGAATGCTTCTGGCATCTAACCACGCCTCCAAACCCAAAGATCAGGGAGGGAGGAGTCATCAGCACGAAGGTGAGGAGGTTCAGAAATAGGGGCAAAATGAAATTAAGGAAGAGGAAACTGAGACAAATTACAGTGGATTAGGAACCACAGGGCTCTCTTAACAAAACAGTTATAAGAAAGCCCCCTCTTCCCTTCACCTGTCCCTTTATGTGGCAGATGACAAGTATGTAAAAAGTCCCCAGAACAGGGATTCCCATGAAAAGGAGAAGGGAACCTAAAAAGTGAAACGAAGCCAAGCGGAGGCAAAGCAGCAGAGTTAATGAATTGCAAGGCAATGCTGCAGACAGGATTTTTCACGTCATTGGTGCGGTCACCTTTTCTTAGGAAAAAGTGGCTAGAAAGAAAGCAAATTAAATCCTTTGGAACCTGTAAAGGCTTCTACTGCTTAAAATAACAAAACAAAAATCGAAACAGTCTAGGATACACACAAATGTAAACACACAGGGGCATATGTTGACAGCAAAAACCAGTAGCTGTTTTCTTCTGAAATTATGGAATACAACTATTTTTCTTTAAAAGACTATTGAGTATGAAATTTCATACTGCACTTGTTTCTGTGACCTATGAACACTCTGTTAAGAAAAGCTAAACAACTGGATAAATTTTAATAAGAGATCTTTGCATTTGGACTCTGGAATAAAGATTTCACTGGCAGCCTTACTTCCTACCACTAACCAATCTCTTAAAACAAAGTATCTATTAATCCTTTAAAACACTTGGTTTAACAGCACATGATAATAGTCAGCTTTATCTGAAGCAGATCTAGTGTGCTCTACCCTGCTTATTTTAGCAGGTTTTTTTTTTTTCCTTTACTTCTGACAGATGCTACAATTACAAATTTCAAACTGCAAATGCCCTACTTAATGAAATCTGAGTACCAGAGGGAGGAAAGGGAGATGTGGAGTGTCATGCTCATTCCATCAGTGTTTGTAACTGCCCACATGAGCAGTCCTTAAGAAAAAAAGCAATACATGTGAACACGAAGCATGGACTCATGACCAGCTGAAGCTAGGTAATACAGTCTGACAGCAGGGCAGCTACCCAAGCCTTCTATCAGTAAGAACACATGAAAAAGTAACACACAGAAACTTGGCTGTAAAAATGGCATTTCTTTTCAGCCTCCTATCATCTCGCAGAAATGTGCCAGTGTAAAGGAAGGTGTGCATCCCCTTCAGCAGGAAGAGCTGGAAGCTCATCTTACTAAACCACACTTGCTACATACCACCAACCACACACAATACACTTATTTATGACCTGTAGCTTCCACCCCTCTCCCCAAACTCACCCAGTCCTGCCACCTTGCACAAGCTGCCACCATGACTAGTGCTGGGGGGAAACATCTGCTAAAGAAAAGGGTACAGAACGGTCAAAAAGAGCTAGGGTTATGCAAATGAATGGCTAAGAAAAAAGACGCACTACCAAAACAGGTACAATGAATGGCCTGATGATTTCAACATGTTTTTTTCTGAAATCATTTGCTTCCTTACCAAAGCAGGGGAATGCTTTTGGATGAGGCTTTCCCAAATGAAAATACAAGAATGTGTCAGAAACTAAATAGAAGAATATACATTTGCATTTTAATTTCTCACTGCTACCCTATTTGTCACCACAGTGACAAGTTTGCACCCAAAAGACTATACTTGCCAAGATGAAGGCTGGTATTTCCCTTGAAGTACACACAAACCAGCACTCTTTTCAAAACAAAACAAAAATCAACACAAAACAAACCCCCCAAAAAGTCACTCAGAATAGATATAGCTACAGTAAAGATAATTGCTGTTAGTTATCCTCAAGGCCTGATCCATCATCAGATTTGAGAGCTGTCTTGGCAAGCAACTTCAGCAGTTACCTTCTCATCTCTGGATCCAATCCCAAAAGCAAAGCAGCTATCTCCAGAATGAGGTAGCTCCACCTAAGCAAGCACCTTGTTTACTGGGTCAACCATAGGCAGAGGCAACCATGCTCAGCCAACACACCAAGCTGGCCGGACACAAGCCACCTACCTCCTTGCTGGAAGGCAGATAGTACAGCAAAAGCAGCTGAGTTTTTCAGCTTTTCATCCATGAGCTGCTCAGAGGCAGGGGTAACAGCTCTGGCACAGCATCTTGGCTAATGCTTTGGGATCAGAGATGGACACATCTGTCCAGCTGTCACGCTGAAGACAGCACACATCAGCACTCTGTTAGTCTGCCCAGAACTCAGTTATTTTCAGCATGCCTCCACACTGTGCTTCTGTTGCGCACTGTTCAGTGCTTCTTCCTCCTTCCCTTTCCTTTTTCCTTTCCTTTCCTTTTTCCTTTCCTTTTTCCTTTCCTTTTTCCTTTCCTTTTTCCTTTCCTTTTTCCTTTCCTTTTTCCTTTCCTTTCCTTTCCTTTCCTTTCCTTTCCTTTCCTTTCCTTTCCTTTCCTTTCCTTTCCTTTCCTTTCCTTTCCTTTCCTTTCCTTTCCTTTCCTTTCCTTTCCTTTCCTTTCCTTTCCTTTCCTTTCCTTTCCTTTCCTTTCCTTTCCTTTCCTTTCCTTTCCACACTCTGTGCCAGGTCAGACACCTAAAACATTCAAGCAAACCATAGAGCACTAAAACAGTCAAATTAACTCTACAGAAAGAATTCCAACAATTTCCATGAAGCCTAAGTCTTTGGACTGGTTTTGTGCCAGTACAAGACGAGGTAGAGAGGAGCCACCTCATGAACAGAGATGAGCAGTCTGGGATTCCCACAGTTCTAGCCCCAAGAGCATGCACAGATTCTTGTGGTCTCTTGGTACTAACTGTACTCAGTAGCCATTCAGAGTCAGGAACAGCAGCAATTTCAGCACCCTGCTGAAAATGGGGATTTGGCACCAGCTCTGTCCTGCAGACCCAACATCCAAGAGGAACCACCCTGATGGAATAGAATGAGCACAGCAGACTAATGGAGTATCACAGCATTGTGAGATGCTCTCACTTTAGCAGGGATGCCAAAAGGTGGTAAATGACCGAGTTCATATTGTTATTGGCAGTGCATAGATCTCCTTGAATAAACTTGGTGCAATCTAACTCTGCCAAACATCTACAATCACAACAGGGAGAGCACTGGGCAACTGTTTGAACTCGCTACTCCTACTAGAGTGAAAATAATGTAGAAGTTTACAGTCCTCTGCACCATAGATGGCTGTCCACCGCAGAGACCAACACAGGATTTTATGAAAGATGAATTAAAAAAAAAAAAGAACCTACCACACTTATATAATCTCACCTTTCATATTGAAATACTATCTTCTGATTTAACAGGAAGCAAGACTGGGATGGGATGGGATGGAACAGTCTCAAAACTGCATTAAATCCAAGTACAAACTTTTTGCCTCATTTCAATATTGAGAAAGGTGGAGAAAAGTTATTTGAATATACAACTAATGATAGCATGGCCTCTTGCTTGGAGCACATTTTCAATGAAAGAATGAAAATATGGAGGTAAAAAAAAAATCAAACAAAATGTCACATGATTTTTAAAACCATGAACCACGTCAAACATCCAGCTTTTCTTCAACAGTACAAATAGTCTATGTACAAAAGAAGCACAACACTTCTAGTCTCACTCCATAAGTAATATTCTACACTACCACCTGAGCAGTGAGCTGAGAAAAGAGGAGTTAGTTCGAGAATAGTATGACAGGAAAAGCAGCAGATCAAGAGGAGATGACAACAGATTTCTTTCAGAAAAAGGTGGAAGGATGTTAGCTAGGGACTTCTGCCAAGATTGGTCTTGAGTCTTTTTTGATTCAACACTTTCATTTAGAATTTTTTTGTGCCTTTAAGTGAGCACTACAAAAATATGCAGAAAATATCAAACTAGGAGGTAGCAGAAGTACAGTGCAGACTGAAACAGCACACAAGAAAAATGTTAACAAATCCTAAGGACAGAAACAGGATGAAAAGGAACAAAAAACACCAGAATAATGCTCTTAGTGACAGTGGTTGCTGCTGAGAAGTGATTAACTGTTAGCTGGAAGCAGCAGAGAAGGAAAAAAAATGAGTATAACTCTCCTATAAGCAGCTAGTAAAAGCCACTAAAGAAAGCTGTTTCAGAAGAAATAAAATATGATTTTTAAAAAGCAGCTATATTTTCAGTGCAGGAAGGCATATAAAGAGAACATCATAGCGGACTACCAAGATCTTGCTGGGAGCACCATGTATAAATCTGGTAATACATATTCACAAAAAATTTACCTGGGATAGCACAACAAAACATCTGACCAAAGGGAAAAAAATACTAAAGTTCTTAATAAGTAAACCAAAGAGACAGTTAGTAGGGTTGGAACAAAGAAGTGGAAGTGTAAGCTTATGAAAATAAGTTTAGGCTGGAAATTAATCTAGGCAACAAAACACTGGCTTTAACTTTACATGGAAAAAACTTCACTAGTTTGCAAGTGGCTCTATATAGGTTCACAGAGACAGACGTGGTTTCTGTGACAGCGAGGCATCTGGCTCAGCCAGGGTGATTTGTTCCAGTTCTGGGTGATTTGTTCCGGTTCGGGGTCTCTGAATACTCATTGCAACACAACGATGGTCCTTGCAGGCCAGAGCAAAAGTCTATCAGCCCAGCAGCCTCGATCCAGGACAAGCCAACAGCAGATCATGAGGAATACAAATGCACAGTATTTTGGGGAAGTTATCACCACTTGTGATTTAGGGACTTAGAGATCTAGACAGATTTAATACCCCCCTTTTCCACTATTTTGGCAGCCCTCTCTCATGCCCATGTAATCTTTTGTACCGACAATATCCCATGGCAAGGAGTGCCACAGCTTAATTTCACATTTTATTAACAACAGCTTCCTATTAGCTTGTTCTGAGCCCATTTCCCACTATTTCTTTTTCCTCTTAGCTAATGATTTTGCCCACCCTTTATCCCATCAATATCACTCATGGTTCCTTTTTCATCTTGTCTGTGATACGAAATCTCTGTTTTCAGCACTCCCCCTTTTGTAGTCTCTTACAGAGCTGGAAATTCTAAACCAACTTAGGCCTTCCTTGCATGGAAACTGTTTCACTACACTTTTCATTCATCACCTTGGTCTGTACCTTTGCCATGCTACTCACAGTATTGTAGCTCTTGTACTGTATTGAGGAGACACAACACAGATTGCTGCCTCGCTGATTTCTTTCCTAACAATTAATTCTCAATATGCAGTGAAGTACTATAGTAAGCCTGACATCTACACCAGGCAACAAAGCATAAACTTCAATGAACAACTGGGGTGTGGGTAGGAGGACACAAGAATAAACATATCGGCGAAGAAGCAGCATAGTTTTGAAAAGGATGTCAAGCTCCAAGAAACAAGTGGAGTTTCTGGAAAAATCAATACACATGCAGAAAAGGGAGATGCAAATGAATAAACAGCATGCAAGTACAACTCAACTGAAGTGGCTGGAGAGACAGAAAGCTGAACAGACTGTCAGCTCTTCCAATGAAAGAGATGGAGATGTGAAATTATACAAAAGGACACAGGTCTGAGAAGGCAATGCACCTGCCTTTTAAAAATATCTGCAGTTTAACTCCTTGCAACAGCATGTTTAGACACTTAGCAAAAGCTCAAGAGGCAACACAAAAAAGTTATGGAAAAAGTCCAGAAAAGGTTAGTAAATACAAACTCGTTATTTTTAGCTCAGGAAGCCTTTGACAAGTGAATTATTGAAGATCAGGAGAACACTCTGGGAGTTATCATCTCTATTCCTCTTAACTTTTCTTGAGACAGTAACTTTGTTTTTATCAGTGCCAGAAACAGAACACCAGGTTTAAACATACACACAAGTATAATTATTCTTACTAAATAAAATGCAAGCATAGAATTTGACCAGCATTTCTCAGGTTAAATAAAAGTACTGTCATCTCAAGCCTTGATCAGGCTGCAAAGCCCTCCTGTAACAGTTCTTTAGCCACCCTCGATTTCAAAGCAGGACAATTCCTCTGTTACTTTGCACAAGAACCAACGCTGCTGTCAGTAAGTACAAATGTGAACTCAAATCCAGTATACTTGACTATGCAGAATGAGTGGGATCACATTTCACCATACTGCCAAACACTTGCCATTATATGATAAACTCTTCTATTTAAGCCAGCCTGCAACTTTGCCAAACTGCCATTGTTTGGGCTGAAATTTTACAAATTAGTGTCTTCTTCCCTGTTTTGTTTCTTCAGTTTTTATTCATTCAAAACAGTGCACTTCTGAAACATAAAGTTTAATAGAAAAAAAAAGTTTTGTCTGTGTCAAAAAATTCTGGCACACTTTTCCTACTTTTCCCTTTCCTTTGAACACCTTTCTTTGAGATAGAGACTTGAAATTCGACAGGGATAGTGGTGTAGCTGTCATTCCTGTGAACTCTACCCAAATTCAGCCAGTTTTTAAATTATTTATTCCACAGTACCATTAGTAACTCAGAAATCAATGTTTCATGTCAGATAACTGAACGCTGTCCTAGAGGTCTTAGATTCTACTAGAGATCTTTGTGTCATTTAAACTAAATGCTACAGAGAAGATCATTAATTTTCCCAGTCCTTGTCATGTGTCTGCAAGGAGTGATCTGCAGAAATAGTTAGTGCCTGAACCTGATGTGAGAGGCAGTGAAAGCCGCATTCTAAACAGATTATGAAGACAATGGTTTTGAAAAACTCTGCCTAGCAATCTCAGAATAGGTTCTTCCAAAAATTCCACAGAAATTTGATTCTTAAATAAACAACTAGAAAAACCCCATAGGAGTAATTTACTTTATTCCCACTGCATTTTATCCTGTGCATGCACTGCAGGCTCTCCTCCTTTGGAATCAAGGTGCTTCACAGTGTAATTATCATGATGCATGTTGGACAAGAGGTGTCTCCCCATCACAAGAGTCAGAAACAGTGTACAAACAGCTCAGCATTTCACCAGGGCAGGGACTGTGGCTGTTGGGCAGGTTTTCTCAAAGTACCCAGAGCCTGAAGCAAAATATCAAATGTGCTAGAGAGCATACCAGAACTCTGTATAAATACATTCCATTGTCAAGATCCATGTATAAGTTTCCAGCCAGAAAACTGGCTTGTGAACTCCCATCTGTGGCATACATACTGATCTGAGAACCAGCATCTCACTAGGTATTTGCCTTCAATGATCCACGGCCTAAAAAACAGGATAGCATAGGCGTGCCCATGGTGATGACTGAGAGGAACATAATTTGGCTTTGTGAGCCTCTGTTGTGCCATATTGTTAAATTAACAAAATTAAACAGCGTGCACACATGTAACTGCATGTACTCTAACTGCTTTATTCCTTTGCC